TATTATTATTATTATTTGGCCAAACTTACCTGCTTCCCTTTCGGCCCATCTCTCCCGGGCTCCTGATCCAGGATTTCTGTGCAGGAATTCTTGTCCGCGGCTTTGTTCTCGGCTCCGCCCGGAGACAAAGAGTAGAAAGGGGGGCTCGGGCTGGGGGGCAGCCCCGAATCAGGACTGTCCAGCAAACTTTCCCGATTCTTTTCTTTGTTGGTGTTGTCCATACCTTGGAACTGCAAGTGACCCACCATGACTGGCCAGGTGGGGAGGTTGAAGCGGGGGGGGGAAGGAGGAGGAAAAGCGGAAAGAATAATGGGTCAGGGAAGATAAAATCCGCCAAGCTGACCAAAAAATCCACCTCTTCCCGGGTGGGCCAAGAAATGGGAAGCGGTACGGGGTGGGCAGTCCATTTCCCCAAGTGGATACCTGACAAACTGGGCCTGTCTGGAAGGCCGAATCAACAAGGCCGCATTGCAGGCACACAAATTGGAAAAACAAAAGTAGCAGTTGGCTTTTAAACTAAAAAATGAAGTCGTATCGCGTGCATCTTCGTATGTTTCTTTACACGTGATTTCTATTTTCTTTAAAGGACCTCACGTGGGTCGGACCAGGGTAGCTAATGGGTCAGATGTGGCCCAGGGACCCCGAAATGCCCAGGTTTGGCCAAGAGGAAGGGGCAGGAGAGGGTGGATTTAAAAGATCATGTATACGGTCCTTATACTTCCAGTTCTTTTTTTTTTTTTAGCACGGCCTACCTTGAAAGGTGGTTAGGAGGCTGTCTCAATACTCCTGTTTCTCGGAGGTAGGCTTTAGGAGGGGAGGAGCTGGGGTCCAGAAGAGTCCGACTCAAGCCCCCCGCCCCTAAGTGCTCATGGGGTGACCTTTCCCAGTCTCAGCTCAAGCTAGGGAGGAAAAGAATCAAGAATGAATCTCCCCCAAAGTATCCGAAGGTGAGAAATAGCAAATGAAAGAGTGGTCATCTTTAGCACGGCTACCAAGCCAGGATTTGGGGTCCAGCAAACCTCTGGAGACCCTCCCCCCCATCTGCTTCTAAGGGGTGGTCTAATACACACACATACACAAATGCACACTGACATTCAACCCCTCTTCACTTTTTTTGCAGGTGAGAATTGCAGGCTCTGCATTTTGCTTGCCACGGAGATGCAAACCCCTGGTAAGTTTGTGGGTTCCCCCCAAAGGGTTGGGGTGACCTTTCCCAAATTGGTTTTTATGGGAAGAAGTGCTGGTTTTTGCCTGCCCAAAGACAGGCTCCCTCTCCTTCAGGGTCTTGAACCCCTGAAAGGAAAGCCAAAACCCCAACTTTAGGAGAAATGGGTGGAGAGGACTGGGAGCAATATTGCACCTCACTCCTGCAACCTCCTCCACCAGAAATAAGGATTTCTCTCCCTCCTGGAATCCGCCAAAGCCTTTAAAGACGCTTCTTCTGCTCCGTTCCACCCCCCTGACCTGCCTTCTTCTCCCCGAGTTGCATTCACACGTCATTCCAGGAAAGCTGGCTGGGTAAAAAGCCCCCCCACCAGCCGTCCACCCTCCTGCGCCCCGGCAACCGCGCGGTTGAGTTTCCAGGAGGGCTGGAATGCCCTCGCCGTTCAAAGTGTCCCGGGAAGACGAGCCGGCCCGATTGGAGCGCGGAGATTCCTTGGGACGCTTCTGCCCCGAACCGAACCGACCCTAACCCAACCCAGCTCAGCCCAGCCCAGGCCTTGGTTGGAGAGAAGGGGGCTTTCACGGAGAGCTCCCGGTCCCCTCTCCGGAGCCCCGACTGCACCTCCGAGAGCGCAGATCGCGCACGGTCCTGGGCGCGCAGCTTACACCCTCCGCTCTGGGGTTAATCCAGCGCACGGGTGAGTGGGTGGGTTTCCGGGGGTCCTCGGCTGCTTGTCCCAGCCTCCTGCCTCCGTTCCGGCTCCTCTGTTGCTCGGAGGATGCCCGGAGCGCAGGATGGAGAAGGCGCAGGGTGAGCGGGCGATGTCCAGCGACGCGCCCCGGCTCCTGCCTGCCTGCCTGCTTTCTTTCTTTCCTTCCTTCCTTCCTTCCTTCCTCCCCCTTCCTTCCTTCCTTCCTTCCCCTTCCTTCTTTCCTTTCCTTCCTTCCTTTCCTTCCTTCCTTCCTTCCTTCCCTTCCTTCTTTCCTTCCTTCCTTCTTCTTTCCTTTCCTTCCTTCCCTTCCTTCCTTCCTCCCTTCCCCTTCCTTCTTTCCTTTCCTTCTTTCCTTTCCTTCCTTCCCTTCCTTCCTTCTTCCCTTCCCCTCCCTTCTTTCCTTTCCTTCCTTCTCCCTCCCACCCCCAAATGGGGAAGCGGAGTCCAACCATCCCCGGAGCCCTACGTGGGAGCGGCGAGCTCTTCTGCAGCGCGGCGGCGGCGGCGGCGGCTGCTCCGTTCCAGCTGCAGCTCCCTTCGGCCCCCGAGGCAAGGCCGGTCCGGACCCCGAGCGGAGCCTCCCGGCTGCTCCTCCGCCGCCGCCGCCTCTTTCCCCTCCCCGAGCCTGGCCCGCCTCCTCCGCCTCCTCCTCCTCCTCCTCGCGAGGAGCAGAGGCGGCCCCTCGCTCTCCCCAGCAAGCTCTTGGTGGTCGTGGGGACGCCTCCTCCTCTCCCGGCCTCCCTCTCTGCTTCTGGGTGGGGACGCGTCCACACGTGCGCTTTTTTGGAGAGGGGCGAGGATTGCGCGGGGGTGGGTGGGGGAGAGGCTGCCTTCAGTGGAGGAGGAGGGGCGATTTGGCACCCGCAGCCCTCCTGAAGCAGTGGAGGGCTAAATCAAATATGATTTAGGAAAGAAGTCCTCCGCTTATGACCTAGAATTCCCATTGCTAAGCGAGGTGGTTGTTAAGTGAGTGGCGCCTGCTTGTATGACCTTTTTTTTTTGGTCTCAGTGGTTAAGAAAAGTGCTTCAGTGAAACTTGGGGAGATTCACTGATCTCAACTTGATCTGAGGAGGTAAGGAAAAGATGGGGAGGAATAGAGACTGGGGAGGGGGGGCATTTTTCTAAAACTAGTTTGATTGGTTGGGTGGGGGGAGAGAAAAGGAGAAAGAGCAAAAAATCCCAGGTCAGATTCAGGAATTGCAACCTGTGACCAAAAAAAATCGTTATTCATGGTTTTTAATTAGGCTTGACGTATTTTGAATGTATACCATTTTGTTCTTTTTGTTTCAATTTTTATTTTATTCAAAAGATT